CTAGCTGCTGATGTTTTGTTTGAATACATTCCCAGTGTGAATACACCCCCATTAGAACAGTGGCATGGCCCCTCTGGTTCCTGTCCTGGATTTTACAAAACCCGAATCCAGGAGGTGAAGGAGCTGCTGTTCAAACACACAAACCAGGATTCCTTAAATTTGCATGTCATCCTGACCCCTGCAGTGTGGGGATGCCAGTATTTAATATTCCTGCCTGGAAAGCAAATGTTCTTTCATCAGTGTCCCAGGGGATATCTTTTCCCCTGTGAACTGGTGCTGAGTAACATGCTACTATTCAAAGTGAGTGTCAAGTAGGGGTGACAATTCTGCATTTATCTTTAAATGACAGGACAAGAACTATCAGGTGACAAAAACAGATATACCCCTAATATTTTGGAAGTACATCCTTTGGCATGCTGTGTATGTAACCAGGACACTTTGGGCAGCTTATTGCCATAGACATGAGTGAAATCACTGCATGATAAACACAAGCAGACGGTTCTTAGTATTTTTCATGAGGATAAGCCTCAAACTAAGTATTGAAACTAGCATGCTAAGAAAATAATTTTTAGACTGTGTATGAACACCCATGCGTAATCAGTGTTGAATGTGTAATATTACCTAAATTACTTCCAAAAAAATCTGCAATTTCTTGCTGATCTAATTACATAAATCATGGCTGCTAAATGCCTATAGTTTTGCATATCTGTAGCTTCAGGTATTTAAAAGGTCAAACCTACATGTAAAATAAATCCTGTGTTAAAAATACATGGTGTAGCCTAAGTGAGATAGAACACTATCTTTTGTTGTTTCGCTATTTATAAGAGTAATTATGATAGAATTTAGAAAATAGTTATAAAAATCATTATCCTAATAAACTGACCTTCTGCTTACATGACATTTCATTTATATTCTGCAAGATCATCATCTAGAATGGATTTATATTTGTCAGTCCTACACTAATACAGAACAAAAATTAGGATTTTTTTTAGTATGTGTTTTAAGATCTTGGGGTATTTTGACAAGATAACCATGGGCAAAGTGATCCTAGAGATTTAAGTTAGAACCTAAAAAGTTGTGCAGTAGCCTTGAGAAAATGTAATTCCACATGGTCTGATGTTTACTGGGTTTGTGCATGCTTTATTACTCTAAGTGAACCCAGCCACTTTGGTGATAATTCCACCAAATTTTGGGTGCAATGATGATACCAAGCATCCCGCTGGCTTAATAGGTGCTCTAAGTGAAGGTAACTTGACTGGCCCATACACAAGAAGCAGAAGCAGTAGAATGCTGTTCTCTGCCACTGCTGGTTCTACAACTGAGAGTGTTTTGGTTTTGTGCTGCTTATTTAAAACAAGAGTTCAAGAATTTGCCACATGATGGCACCAAAAAAAGAAAACAGTTCCTGGGGCAGCTGCATGGCAGGCTGCACAGCTGTCAGCAGCACAGATTTGGCTTGCACAGTGATGCACAAATGGCAGCAGCCTGTGCAGCTAAGGATGGCATCCATGGCTCCCACAAAGGACTCTTGTGCTGACCCCAGTATCCATAATGTTTTGTAATCTTCATTTCAAATTTGTCATCCAGACTAACTAGACCACAGCCCTCCCTTCTTTTTGTTTACTTTTTTTAGTGATCTATATACTGATTTCCCAGGGTTCTTGGTTCCCTGCAAATCTGTAGACTGCTGAGATGTGAAACTTCTCACGGTATGGCACCTGATCCTTTTTATTTTTGCCTCCCTGTTCCACAGAGGATAAGTACAGCAAGTGGAGACGGCCGGCATTACTGCTACCCACACTTCACATGTGCAGTGGACACAGAAAACATCCGCAGAGTGTTCAACGACTGTCGAGACATCATTCAGAGGATGCACCTCCGCCAGTACGAACTCTTGTGAGGGGGATCACCGTGGAACCTGTGGTTTTAAATTCTTTGCTCCTTACTCTTTCTCTTGATACTACCCCACACAGGGTGGAAGAATATACTATAGAAATGTCAGTCTCTTCACTTTGTTTACTTTTAATTGTTTAACCTTAAAGCTGATTTGAAGCAAGTTTGGGTTATTTTCCCTTCATGCTTTTTGGGACTATTTTTGTGATTTATTTTGACATGCCACTTCTTCGTCATTCCACTAAGCCCTTTGGCTACCTCTGTTCCCTTAGGTTTTTGTTTTTTTTAAAACTGAACGTGACCTGCTAAATTTTTTCCAGTGGGTTAACCTCAGTTCAGACCAGTATGTCATCTGGATGACACTGAAGTCATACTATCCCTCTGTGTGGGTTTCCTTTTTAACATGACATTGAAGAGTACTTGATGGGTGAAAAAAAGATTAATGCACTTTGTATCAGGTTATTAAATACTGTTGAGGAAGTAGACACACAATGTAGCAGCACCACAATATTTATTACTCTGTCACAGTTTTTAGCATTTCTGAGTTGCAGGTCAACTGATAAAGTGACCTCCTCTTTTAAGCCGATACTGGCACAGGAAGTAGAGTAGATAATGAGAGGAACAGTGAAGACAAAGCAATTTTTCTGGGGTTTTGGAGCTAAGTGTCTCTGCACACCTCAGGCATTTGAATTACAGCTACTTTTCAGCCTGTTGCATCTAGGCAGAAAATTTACCACCCTCACTTACGTTATTTGTGCTGTCCACAAATGATCCTTTTAGTTCCGATCATTCTTGGACAATAGTCCTCTCCCTATATATATTTTTTTGTTTTACTGCTGGTTTATTATATTGTACAGACTGTAAAATGTAATATTATTTTGTACAACTTTATTGAAGAAAAATACTTGTAGAAGATCTTTGTGCCTTGATTATGGCTGTACCTGTAAAATGAGCTAAGATGTAAGTATGTTTTTGATTGCGCTGTACAGCTTGATGTCAACCTTACCTGCAGCAGTGACTGGAGGTAAGAACTTTATCTGTAGAGTTTAGGGGTTTTTTTCTGGTTTATATAAAAATGCTCTTTAGTATAAAAATTATAAATTATGCAAATTAACCACTTACCTTTCCAAGTAAGGTATTACAGTCACCGGATGTTGCAGCAAACATGCCTTTCTCTTTTGAAGTCTCAGCTTTAAAACATTGGAATTCATTCAAGTGTCCAAATTGCAACCTGGTGTTGTTTTAATGGGAAACAAGGATTTTGTTTTTTTGGGTTTTTTTTCCTCTTTTTTCTTTTGTCCTTTATATTTAGAAAATATGTTTGGTAATTCTTTGGTCATTCATAGAACTTCACAATTGCACAGACCGATTGTGAATGTGTAAAGCACCATTATATAGAGCTCTTCAATCTTTGTACCAACAGCGGCTTTCATTGTGCAAGTAAATAGCAAGAAAGAAGATAAGAAAAAAAAGGTGTAAAAACCCTTGTGTCTGGCCTAAGAGAATTACAAGATGACATTTTTATTTCTCTTTTAATAAAGAGACACATTAGAAAATTATTTTATTTTAAATATTGTAGAATCAAAATGTGTGAATATTTCTCAAACTTGAATAATTTATGCAAATGACATTCTCAAAACAAGTTGTGGTACAGTACAATATATAAAAAGCAAGAATTGCTGTAGCAATAAGGCATGTCCTTTTTAGTAACTATAACACTGCTTTATATTTTATACATAGGTGTTTTATGTCTGTGACTATATACTTTTCCTGTGTCCAAGATAACCTGTACAAATGTCTAAAATTACAGTTGCAATAACAGAAACCTAGAGAAGTGTTAGACTACATTACTTTATAGAATGTTTTACCACACTTCGGACCATTCCCCCCACTTCATTTTAAATTTAGGGAGCGATGAAGAGCTACCACAGTCCCCACACTGGCATATAAATCAGCAGGTTTTATTAACTTTTTACTGTATTGTTATTAGTTATAAACCCCAGTCAGTCATCTTTTTAAAATCAGACTGCAGTCCAATTGAGAACTTGTTTCCAGCTGAATATAAAACAACCTCATTTTAGAAAACATAGTAGACTATTTTCTCTTCCCAGAAATCTCTACGTTCAATTTAGTTATATTTCCCAAAAAGTGAAAGGCTGGTTGGAATAAGCTAACAGTAAACAGAATTCTCTTACTTCTCATGCCAAAGAAAGTAACTAAATAACAAAAGATAGTACTTTTTTTTTTTTTTTTTTTTCCTCAACTAGCCCTAGCCCAGGAGCTCAGGTTAGAGCTCCCAGCCACTGCAGCAACATCAGCAGGAAAACTGGTCCTGGTGTGACGTAGTCCCTCTGTTTTTTCTGGGGTGGGTGGGGAGCAGCAGAAGGTTTGTCCCACCTTCCCCCACACACTGGAGATGCTGAGCTCAGATTTTATCTTTGTGGCACAGCTGGTGGCCTCTGCCTCCCCAAAGAGGAGCAGTGCAGTTCAAAATGTGACACTACACAGGAGTCAACAGAACTTGTGGAATGTAAAATAAGGTGCATTCCTATCCCTGGCTGTAGACTGAGGGCTGAGGCATAGGATAATGTTACTGCAGCTGTATTTGACCTTCCTTCTTGCAGGAGATTGGCAACTGGAGGGCCCCTCACCACACAGATCTCTGGGATGCAATAGGGCCCTCATTTTTTAAGCTCATCATAGCATATCTTTTTGAAAGCAGCAGCTTGAGGTGTCACCCTAAGTTTTTTAAGCAGTTTTCAAGTATGTATCAGCAAACTGGGTCCTCAAGCTTCTTCCGTGTTGTCTGGTAGATGGATAACTGCAAATTATAGTCAGCTAACAGTTACTGTATCAGGAACCAGAAGATTTCTTGACCCAAACCACAGTCCCTTACACATGACAGTTCTTTACACACTCTAAAAGGTTATAGAAATCCACATCTCTCAGTGCTGATGCATCCAGATTCTGCCTGACCCTAACAAACACAAGTATGACATTTGAAGGGCCATGCAGCAATAAGAGAAACATTTCCAGTTTGCAAGATTCAGCCTCCACCAGGGTAAGACACAAGTGCAGACAAGTGATGAGGCTATAGGATTTACATAATGTACAGTTACACTTTTAATATACATATTTGATACAAAAATTATAGCAGGAAAAGGACTCATTTGATTGTCGAATACAGTATTTTTGTACAGCATGAAACGTTCATTTCAGTTAATTATTTATCCTGTAGTAGTCATATCAGCTGTATAGGACTTCTATGGTATGTGTAAATGCAACCTGCCTTCAGACTAGCAATCAAATTAGGTCATTTGCTGGCATGAATATAGTCTGATGTTTGACTGTTCTCAGCTTTGGTATTTCAGTGACTGAATGCAGATGTCTGGCTCTTCATACTGCTTTATGCTTACTGATTAAACGCTGAGCAAAATAAAACGGTGGAGTGAGAAGCTGAACATGAGCTAGTACCAGGATCACAAGCAGAGCACCTGCTGCACAGTAGATAGTGAAGACTCTGCTCTCAAACGGAAGGAAGCATTTTTGGAGGGAGAATTCAGTTGGTGTTATGCTGCCCTGAAAAAGAAATGAAGACTGTCACTTTGCTGTGTTACAGTGGGTCCTGAATCAGGAGCAAACACCACAGCTGTCAGATCTCTAATTTCTAAATCCCTGTGTTGGGTGGTAAGGGTTGGGGCAGTTTCCTAGTACCAGTGCCTTCTCCAGGGGGCTGAAGAGTCCATACCTTGTGGTGCTGGGCACTAACTGGAATATTCACCAGGCCAACATTAGCCCAGAGGCCAATCTTTCTATCTCGCATAAACAAAGAGCTGGGCTCCTCATCTGATTTGCCTTCAAGAAAAGCCTAACTTTAGCTGCTGCAAATCCACCTGAAAGGAGCCTTTCCAGGCTAAAGTTAGGTTTTGTGAATGTGCCCCTTCCTTCCCCCCCAAGCCTTCCTCCTTACCCAGTACATGCTGCAAAAACACACGTTGGCTAATCCAAATTAGGAATAGGAACTTCAGCAATGAAGAATTTTGTTGGGTTTTGGCTTGACTTTGCAGTTTAAATTAACGTTTACAGCAGCTAGAGGCTGAGGAGTTAAAACAGTAGTAAAGAGGATGCCACTTTAATTAGCCAACTTCTTGTTTTGCAGTGAAGATGCACTGTCTGGCATCTTGTGTGTGTGCAGTTTGAAGGCAGCTACTCTCAGGACTATGAAACAAACAGAACTACTTTCAACAACAAATATTTACAGTTGCATAAAATTAATTTAAACATATGGGGTTATCTGTGTATTAAGCATCCTAAACTCAACAGCAGTAAAACATACATAAAAGATTTCCCCCTCCAAGTCACAGACTACTCTGTAAACAGATTGTAGGTTTTGCTTCTTACTCCAAGTTTCTAAGAGTTCTGTTTTAGTTTTGAACTGGGGAACTAATTGATTTACCTCTAAGGATATACTGAGCACTGGAACTGCCTGCACAAGCATAACCAACACACTGTATAAAATGTGAACTGGCAATGAGGAGGCAGACTGTGGGCACATCACAAACACTTTCACTGCATTAATGTACACGTTTGAAAATCATGATCACCGTGCAAAAAGGGTTTGAGGTGGATACAGTCTTGTTTTCATAGTTGGTAAATCAGCCAAGCCAAACTGGTCTTTCTACTGTTCAGTGCACAATACTGATTATTTTTACAAGTCAATAGTTTACAGTGCACCCTCTTTCTAAGAAAATGTACCCAAATACTAATTAGGTCTTTAGCAGCATTGCTTTGTACCACACAGAACATGTGGCTCCCACAGATGTACTTTATAAAGTGGATGCAGTGTACTGAGTGGGTTGGGTGGGTAGGCAGTTTTTTTTTATTATTTTTTGTTTTTACAGGTAGAATCAGTTTTAAAATATAGCTGACTGCCATGTTGATTTATCTATGAAAGTTATCTGACAAAAATAAAAAAAAAGATTAAAACTTACCATGATGAAACTAGGGTTGTTTCTATTCCTCCAACTGAATGATGGGACACTGATTTCTGGAATTTTCCCTGCGTGCAGCACTTCACAAGCACTATGAGTGTGCCCACTGAGAATCAAACGGGGCTGAAACCACCATAGCAGCTAGAACACAAAATAGTAAAGCACAAAAATTAAGTCACAGCTAAAAAGAAATTGAACTTAAAACCCCCTTTTTTTCCTGTGAACATTATGGCAATTCTCATATTCTTACAAAGCTTTTTCTATTAACTTCTGTTTTGCAGTAAGAAATCTGTTGGTATTGCAATATCAGTCACAACCATTTAGCCCTGATCCCAAGTAGTGGGCTTTTTTTTTTTTTTTTTTTTTTTTTTTTTTTTTCAAACAGATCAAAAGAACAAAGGCAACAGCATGCTGTGGGCTGTGGATATCACAAAAAGAAAAACTTTGGGTTTAGTAAAGCAATGCTATTTTCTTGTCTAAAGAAAATTTTGTAATGACAATTTTTGAGTGAAGATGTGTATGCAGAAGGAAAGAAACAAGGACCATTAGGTTTTTGGGGAATACTTTAAATTTTCTTGTAGTTACTAATTCAGAAGAAATTATGCTTTCAATGTGTTGGGAAAGTGTGGCTTCATACCAGGTGTGTCAGTAATTTACACATTACAGAAAGTAAAGAATGCTGAAGTGGAGGCAATGGCAGCACAGCAGATTTAAGAGTGCCAAGACTTAGGAGCTGTACCTGGGAAACCTGGCAGGACCAAGGCCATGATGGTGAGGATCCTCAGGGGAGCAGCTCTAACAAGCATCCTCTCCCAGGCCTCATTAGACAGGAGCAGCTGTGCTCCGTTTGTCTCAGCCAACAGCCTTACCACAATTTTTTAATCCATTTATATCTACAGTCATGTCCCTCTCTCACCCACCCCCTGCCACTCAAGTTCCCAAGAAATCAAACCTTTTGTGATGCCTCTCGAGACAGTACATCATACTTTTCTTTAAAGGGGATGTTTTTCTCCTCTGGAGGAGCAGAATCTTCTCCAGTGCATTCAGCATCACTTTTCCGATAGAGAGGGTAATGCTGGGAGTAATTAAAAGCAAGGATTAGTTGTTAATGATCCTGCCTTTCTAGAACAGTAATAAATCCACAAAAACAACATTTCGATATATTGCCTCACCCCACCTCTAACACACCTGTAAAAGGATGGGTTCTGAAACCGGAAGCTTTTCCACATCACTGCATCTTTTGTTGGAATGATTTGGTTTCTGTGAACAAAATCAAGCCATATAAAAGGGATGAAGGTAATTAAGCAAAATCTAGGTTTTAAGTGGTTAGGAAGGGTGGGGTTATTGTTGAATTTGGTTTTTTGTTATGCAGTTTAGCTCAGGTAATACTACCCACTGTATGAACTCCCAGGAGTTTTACTGTGGACTGGTGAAGCTCCCCATTCTGTACATGCTGTAAATACAGCTGTGCTCTTTCTGACTGTGAAGCCTTAAGTTTTAGCTTTTGTATTTTTCAGATTCTATGCTGCTTGAGTGTGTAGTTTTGAGCTTCATCAACTGCAGAAAGCAGCAGCAGCAGGACCTCTGCACAAACAAGACAAAGAAGTTTGAGAGCAGCCCAAGGGAGATAGTCTGGCAATTTTTGCACTGGGAGCTGGTTTCCTGATTAACTGCCAGCCCAGTCAGTCATGCTGCCTACTGTGCATCCAGTCAGCCTATGAAAAACGGAAGAGGAAGGAAATACAAGAAGTAATTTGGTATGACTTTAAAATGCAATTAAAACACTACTAGGGTACAAGGAAAGGATTGTAGCAGAATTGGTAAACTAAAATAACATGCTTGCAGGCTATAAAACAGAATAATATCCATAAATATAAATGCAGGATTATGTATCTGAAGTCAAAGGAAGGGTTACAGAACTTCTGCCATTGCTCCAAACAGGAAATTACACTGTTGGCAGCACTGATAAGGAAACTGACACCATTAGTGCTAAGCAACACTGTTAATAGTTAAGTAAATATGGTTAAGAGGGATATGAGCTGGAGAAAGACTTGCTAACAAGTTTCACTGTGAATTTGAGCAGACTTTTTCGGGAGAGTCTGGTTGTATCCTGGCTATGCTACAGTATCAGCATTCCCACTGTGACAGAGGAGTCGGTGGCTGTAATCTGATTTTAATAATCTCTTACCTGCTGGGAGCAATTCAGTTTGTGAGAAAGTGCCACAAGTTTTGCCTCTGAGGTACGGCAGACAACACAGCCATCACCCTCCATGGCTACACTGTTCACTACGACAAAGCTGGAAAATACCAGGGGGTGGGCAAAAAGAAGTGGGGAAGACAGGAAGGCATTTGTTGTTCAGGTACAAGTGTGGGATAAACTTCATTTTATAAACTGCAAGTGTTCCCAAGCAGGACACAGCTCAACAAAGCACCAGAATGTAACAGCTCCTGAAATTATGTGTTACAAATCCTCCTCTGAGTATCTGTACCACAGCCATGTCTCTGCCTGGTTGGCTCCTTTATACAGTTGTTAATTAGGTTGCACAATGTACCTTATGCTTCATGCTTACACTAAAGATTTTTTTTATATTTTAATAGACACTTAAGTTGTATTCTAGTGGAATGTTAGAAGTTCATAACTAAACTAAATTCTGAGGGAAAGGAGAACTTGCTTCTCTCCCCACACAGTTTAGATCTCAGAGACAGAATTGGAGACACTGAATTTCTTCAGAACAACTGGAAAGCAGAACAGCACTGCATTTGAGTGACTGCCCTGAACAAGCTCAGTTTTGTACTTTGCAGTCTCTGCCACACAAAACAAGATTTTATTCTTAATAGGTTTCCCTGTAGATTTGAAATCAACTTAAGTTCTGCCACAAGATTCATACCCATTTAGTCACACAGTCAGCTTGAGATACATCCCCAGTTTAATTCAGTCTGTTTAATAGACAAAAATATTCTGAATGCCTTCACTTAAGAGATACTTGTCAATAGTAAAACAAAAATTAATTCTCTTTTAGCATTCAGCTGCTTTTATACCACAGATTTGTTGTAAAACAGTTTATTTAGGAGTATTTCTTTTAGGAGTATTAATAGCGCAGGTCACTGCAGTTCACGGATACCAGACATGCAATCTGAAACTGCATAGAAGAATTCTGCTGTGCTGTTTTATCAAAGGAGACATGGAAATGTTCCTTAGTAATTACTTTTTAAATAGTTGAAATATGTATCTTGAGGACCCAGCATCAGAGATCTTCCAAAAATAGACAAAATCATTTCCACACCTGTTCAGAATTTTTAATTAAACATTTATATGTTTGCTTAATTAAGGGAACCGGTGTAAACCTGTAGGTTTTGAATCTCACATTTCCACAAGTGAGTACAACCCAAGGGTACACATGCCAAACACAGAGTGGCAATGGGCTTTCCCTTCCCATTGAATCCCATGTCGAATCTGAGACTTCAACACCTTTCCACAAACCCAGTATTGCGTTCCCTCTCGGGGTTCCTGCACGGTGTCTGGAGGTAGCAGAGCACACACAGCCACGTGCAGCCACGGGGACACAGCTGTGAGAACAAACTGCACCGAGGTCTGCTCTAAGCCAAAACCAGCTCGAGTATTATTACCCCACCTTGTGGAAAAACTGCAGGCACACAACTGCTGTGTTTCCAAATTCCTCAAACAAGGGTTAAATTCTGCAGACTAAAGAAGTTATTAAAATTAATGAAACTCCTAATTTGTAAACACAGAGGGGGTTGGTTCATGGTTTTTTATCCTATGTTTATAGCCATGGCTCATTACCAGCTGCAAGGAAGTATAAAGGCAGACCAGAGAAATGGATTCAGACTCTACAGTACTTTTCCATTTAAAAGGAAATTGTTACACTTTACACAGCTCTAAGTACAGCTTCTGGTCCATATCAAACTACAGACTTGTACAAAGTGTTTGGGGTTTAATACATCATAAGGTAGATTATTAAAAACAAAAAAAAAGGCCTTAAGTGAAGCATTCCCATACTATTTCATTAGAAAAAAATAAATATACTCACTTTATTCCTTTCCGAGTTATCAGCTTTCCTGAAGTAAAGTTGAAAACCTTTTCAAATCGATTTACTTTGTAAGTAGTCATTCTGTGTCACAGAGCAAAAATACAACTAAGGTAAGAAACTGCCATCAGAACTCAGCTGACACAGTTGCTTACAGTTTGCTGACCATTCAAGCAGCTTACTGCTCCATTATCCAGTTCACATAATCATTCAGGAAACTCACAAGGATGGTCTGACACCCCTTGTGTCCTCCAGCCCCTCCCATCAGTACAAGCACCAGCAGAGTGAGGGCACTTACACTCTCCTGTGCTAACAGGAGTGGAAATATGCTCAGGTGCCTTTCTAAGGAGACCCAATGCAAGGAAAAGCAGCTTCAAGGATTCCACGCCAGTGCAGAAGGATCAGCTCTGAACAACCCTCATACGGCCAGAGAAGCATAAACCTGTTTTGTGCACAGGCCTTACTCTAAATTACAACCCTTTCTAATTTGATCATGATCAAAAAGTTTCCATATAACCACAAAGCAGGTCCCTCAGACCCAGCACCAGTTACTGTGGGCATGCTGACATTTCATTCTTGACACTTGTGTACTCCTGTCACTGACAAGACTCACTCGTAATGAAATCCAATGTCATGATTCCCAGCGATGACCACCAGCTCTGTAAAAGCTGAATGCCTGAACATTTTCCAGAATCTCCTGACATCATCTGCCCAGGCCTGCAGGAAAAAAATGGAAGAAATTAGTGCACCAGAGGTTTTGTAGTGGGTTTGCAAGGTGAGGCTTTGGTATTTGAGGGGCTGCAGGGATGGATTCTGTGGGAGCCTTCCCTGTGTCCTACAGAGCCAATGCCAGTCAGCTCCAAGATGGACCCACCGCTGGCCAAGGCTGATAGTGCCTCTGGGATAACAGATTTAGGAAGGTGGGAAAAAAGGGAACTCTGCAACTGCAGTCAGAGAGAGGAGTGAGAATTTGTGAGAGGAAGAGCCCTGCAGACACCAAGGTCAGTAAAGGAGGCAGGTCTATTTGTATTTTCTCTCCCCTCTCCAGCCAAGGCAGCTTTGTGGTGGGCACTGGGCATCCAGCCAGGGTCAGCCCATCATAAGCATGTAACACAGAAGCACAGACCCAGATGTTCACATTTTTTAAGCTTTATAGGAGGCACAAAACTGTCAAGGTACTTCCAAAAATGAAGGAGAATCACAGTATTTCAACTCCTATCTGAAAAACTAGAAACTTCTACCAACAGACCAACTGTAGCACTATTAAACAAAGCCTTGCATACCTAATCTGTTTCCATTTCCTTCAAGAAATCCTCATTTATTGAAACAAGACAGCTGATGATGTCCTACCTGAGGTGAGCTCCATTTTCCTTCATCAAAAACATCTCCCAGAATAAAAACAATATCTGGCTGCAGTAACCATAAGGCAGTTTGGAAAGATCTCTCCATTTGCCATTCCCTAAAAGGTAAATCCAGAACCAGTTATCACAGCCTTACCTCTGGATCCTCAGCTCTGAATACAGAGACACAGCCTGGCAATAGGAATGGGAAACTGGCTCTTACACACTGAAATATGAAAATACATTATGAAATCTAAATTAAATACTTAGAAATCAGGTGTAAGGACAGTAGGTGCATCTTACCTGGTGGGTACTGTGATACAATCAGGACCAAGATATGCCAGAAGTAATACCAGCTTATTTATTTTTTCATTACAGTTCAAATGAATTGCTGTTTTATAGAACAGTGAATTATTGTCCCTTTAGCTACTACTGAAAACTCTAAAACTGGCTAGAGATTATTAAAAAAAATAATAGTTACCTTCTTAGCTTATCCAGCCAATGTCCTTTGATTTCACCAAGTAGATGTGTATCAGCTAAAATTATAACCTTTAGGACTGAAGCTGAAGTCTCTTTTTCAGTCATGTGAGCTCCACTTTTCACATTTGGCCATCGGCATTGAAGTATTACCACATAGTAAATTAAAAATTCACAAAATATTAACACTGAGCTGACAAAGCACAAAAGTTTCAGCAGAAAACAGAGCCTCCTCTTCAGAGGGAGATTTTTCACAGCAGTCGAGCTAGAACTCAGCATTGCAGTACCAGCATAGGACAATGGCTCAAGTTTTCCTCTCTCAGATGAAACCAGCTTGGGCTACCCAAAGGATCACCTTGGGCTTTTTGTCAGCATGAAATTCCTGTGGAGAAAATACAAAATAAAATATTCATTGAGTCAGCATTCTCTGCGGAAAGCTACCATGCAAGGCCTACAGTGTTAGCTTCTTGTCACCCTGAAAGGCTTGGGAATATGTAATTGACCTAAAGAACCAAGTTCTCCTCCAGGCACACAGATGGCCAGCTGAGCACAGAGCTGCACTCACTCCCACCAGCACCAAGGAAAGCAGATTACAGCCAGCCAGGATCTTGGTGCATGATGCTTTTTTAAGAATGTCACAGTGAAAACACTATGAGTGAGGGTCAAATGTAGGTAAAGACAGAGCTCAGCTTGAACAGCAGCTGCAACAAAGAAAAGAAATCCATTAGGATCTATATAGAGTCACCGAGGTTGGAAAAGAACTTCAAGACTGAGTCCAAGCCTTAGCCCAGCACTGCCAAGTCCACCATGTGTCCCTAGGTGCCACATCCATACATCTTTTAAATATCTGCAGAAATTGTGACTCCTCCACTTCCCTGGGCAGCCTGGTCCAATACAGGACAACCCTTCCAGTGAAGAAATTTTTCCTAGTATCCAATCTAAACCTCCACTGGCAAACTTGTGGCCACTTCCTCTTGTCCCATCACTTATTTGAGAGAACAGACCAACACCCCCCTAGCTACAGCCTAATTTCAAGTAGTTGTAGAGAACAATAAAGTCTCCCCTCAGCCTCCTTTTCTCTGGGCTAAACAACTCCCAGAGGACATCTGGCACAAGTGCAGAACATGACTACACCAGATCAATAGCATTACCACCTTTAATATGGTTCATTGTAATCTCCAAGAACCAAGGGCAATTTACTATCCCAGAACAAGTTTACAGAACGTTTCCAGGAACACAGGCACAGACACACAGGTAAGTAATAATGCTGCTTCATTTCTGACAAGAGGAAAACAAGAAACATCTAAGTCTCAGAAAAAAGAAACTTCACTGCAACTGTAGAGAAACAGTTAATGAGCCAAAATTGGTGAGATAACTGAATTTTCTGCTTTGTTGCCTTGGATACCTTGTAACCTAAACAGAGAATTTACCCTTTAGAAACTCGAGTATTTTTTTCTGTTTCTTCCACAGCCCTTAGCAAGAACACTTTTTCAGGGTAAATGCCCACAAGAAAGTATCCCAGCTGAGAGAACACAGGCACCAGCCCTTACTCTCCAATGAAATCCCTCAGTTTCCAGGTCTCAGGATTTCAGTCTGAAGAGCACTGCAGGTCTGAAAGCCTGCCTGTTAAAGGTAAACAGTGTAGCATGGTCACAGTAAAAGAGACTCCAGGGCACCTATAGAAGTGCTGCTTCACAGGCTCAGGAAGAACTTCCAGAGAAATACACAAAATGTGGTCCCCCACCCAACAACGGGATTGCAATTTTGCTTTCTACAATAGAAAAAATCCTAATTTAGGACTAATATCCAAGATGTGAGCAATTACTGAACACAGTATTAAGTGATTAGCAGACCAAGTCTGAATTAGCTAAATCTGACTATAGCTGTGAATATTTGGTACCTTTGAAAATTTATACTCCACATATCAGGAAAACTGGGACAAAATTACAAATCCACACAAAATTAGTGAATTATTTCTAAAATCTCAGCCTGTTACATGCACAACACAGAACAAAATCAAATTCTTTCACTGTCCTATGAACTAGTTCATTTGATTTATGTCTCATGGAAAGTGAATACTGACACATGATCATTATATTATTTTTCTATATTATTTTTCCAACCAAAACCTCTATTTGATAATAGCCACTTATTTTCAAACATAGGCTTCCCTTATCAGCACTACAAAGTACTTATTTGAGACAAAGCACCATTAGCCTGCACCATGAAACATTTCTAATAAGCATTATCAAACAGCAGCATGACTAATACTTAATTGCCTGGAATTCAATTCTACCTTAACTTGGTTTAGCAGGAAAAAAACACTGGCCAAATGTCACAATTCCACAGTATGTGGAACTACAGACATAGACTGATTAACCTATTTAATACTCATCTTGCCTGCACTTTAACTAGCAAACAAAATAACATCATCTTTCTTGTACATCTCACAAGGAGGAAAGATCAAAGCAGAGGTATCTGCCAACTGGCACAGCAACAAGGACAAAAAGGCAAACTCTTATCCAAAGAATATTATTATCCACAAATGTATAGGGCTTTATCCTGCAAAGCAAGAAATAGTGCATACTTTGGTAGTCTGAGACAGTCTCCTCTTCCAATAAAAACCGAATTAATTTGAACAAGAAAATGCCAGTAAGTTATTTAATTTGCATTAGCCATGTCCAGAAAATAAATAAATAAATAAATAAATAAATAAATAAATAAATAAATATCGCAGCTTCAAGAGCAAACTGATACCGTCAAGTTAAAAAAAAAAACATCCACACCAACAAACCAAACCTGCAGTCAGCAGAATATAAAAATATCTTCAAAGCAAAACTGCCATTTTCAAAAGTCTCAAGCAGCAACAGACACAATAATGCCACAGAGCTGGTCACTTCCACATGCATTCCTCCTCCGGCGCTTCTGCCGCTAATTGTTACTGTTTGGGCACTTGTGCTGCAGATGTGGAACTTGCCAGAGGTGCCCCATCTGCACCCTACACCGCCAGCGTTCCTGATAGTGAAAGGAAAAGCGGAAAGGGAAATGGAAAAAGAAAAAAGAAAGCCCAACCTCCTAGAAAGTCAGCGATGCAGACCGAGCCCAAAGACAGCTCCCACTGCTGGCTGAGAGGAACCCTGCCCGTCGCTGTGCCACCTGCCAGCCCCGGCCGCTCCCCCCGCGTCCGTCCCGTCCCCGCCGCGCTCCGCCGGGCTCACCGCCGCCGCACCCTCACACGGCTCCTGATTCCCATTAGAGCAGATTTCCACACCAGGGCTGGGAGACCTTAGCTGTGAGAAACGACTGAAGGACTCCTCAGTTTCTTGTTCTGCACATTTAAAAATCAGCCTGTGGACCAGGACAATTACTGAATCATTTAACAACAGGACCAAAGTTTAAATATGCTGGAAGTGTAACTTTACAGCATAACACTGTGGGGGAAAAGACTCCAGTAACTAGCACTGCTTCCTTCTGCAGCATTCATGTTTATTTTACTCATTAGCAAATGTTATAAACAATTTTGCACTTATAATTTTCTGTCATACATGCTATCCTCCTTATTTTCTTCCATTAGGTTTACTGGCAACACAGACTTGCACTGCTGCTCTTCTGTTTCCCTTTCCCATCTCTTGTTCAGAACATGATCCAGCTTTAATTTACAACGAGCCAAGAAAGAAACAAGGGAACACAGTGGTCTACAGCCAGAGCAGGCACAAGTTCTACCCTATCACTTAGTGAATATGCAACTTTGAACAACATATACGCTTTGAAGGAAATTTCTTTATTAAATTACAACTGCATAAAACTGTCCTAACAAACCAGTTGGGACACAAGAGTCTTAATCCTACACTTAGTCCTATCCCTCAGGAGTGTCCATGTATTTTTATGAAGCTAAAGAAGATGCAGTAGTTTATAAGCAAGCTGTCTTTCTACCCTGAGCAGTTTTCACTCAACTCTACCACCAGAATGTCACAAAGGTAGAGATCTACACCTCTCAGAAAAATACAGTTCTGTAATGTAACTATGTTAAATTTCCATAGAATGTCATTACAAACATGTTTCATGGAATGCCATTACAAATCTCCCAAGGTTCTGCAAGCTACACATGTAACTGGGAGTTGTCTCTTTTCATTCCTGCTCACCCTCCCAGAAGCAACACAACATTTCTGCCTTGGGGACTGCGACTTTCTGCACTCCCACTTTCCTTTTCAGCTCTTCAAATACCAGAGTTCTTCGAGTACCTCACTGTTGAATTAAGAAAAAGCTTCTGAGGAATTCTTCTTTTGATGATGCAAAATGCTCTGAATACACTTTCCAATTCTGAACAATAAATCTTTCCTTCATCCACAATTTTTCACTTATTATTTGGATTGAAGAAAATTCCAAGCAGTGATTTAGCATTTTTCTTTTAAGAAACCCCTCTGCAATAATTTAATGATAGAATTAATTTCCGTTTGCATTAGCACATCCTTAGGACTGAAATTCATGCACACTGACAAATCTACACTGATCCTTTGATTTTATGTAGGTTACAGAAAGGATAAATTGGGAAATTCTGTAAGATAAAACTATTTTATTTTATTCCCATAAACACCCACAACCAGAATATATTCTGCAAGTGTGAAAGAGATGGGTTTGAAACTTGGTTGAAGTTATGGAAATCACAGTTTATTTAAAAATATATAAACAAACAAAAAAAACACGGTCAAAAAATACAAAATTTCCAAGTACTTGTCATATTGAGATCACATTACTGAATCTGTATTATCAAACTATGGTACCGCTTAAGCAATGGGAGGTTTAAATGTTGCAGTAATTATAAAAAATATGTAGAAACTCTACCTGGCATTAAATTACCCAGTAGTTACAAATGTGCTGTAAAAGGAAGTCCATATATTACACTTATTTGTTTCAAGCACTTTTCATACTCATTGTTCAGTTTCACAGATTCCTGTACAGCATGTTTTAGATCTTCTACCTCTTCAAAAAAATCCTAGAAAAACCCAAAAATATTCACTTAAAATTTTTTTCAAAGACATTCTCAGTAAGAGCTAATCAGCAGTTAAGTTATTCCCATATTCAAAGACACTTTCTATATTTTTACCAGTGTATGGCTGAGTTGTGCAAACACAGCTATGGTGAGATACAGCAATCAACTACAACCTTAAGTAATAATTTAATAATTTATGTCCTGAACACACAAGCAGAGTTCAAGTTATGTTAGAGGCTGGAATACAGACTAATAGTAGGAAGGACCCATTGTAAAAAGGAAAAAATATGGATTTACCAGACAGCTACAAAATGACAGTGCAATATGACAAGGGAATAATGTGACATTCTGATCCTTTTTAAGACAGAAATTGTTGGGAAATATATGGACAGAAGAGTATAATCACCCAAGACTTTGTTCCACCAATCCTTGAATGTTCTAGCTACCAAAATAACAATGTATCTACCCACAACCACCTATATTTGACATTCTCTTCCCTATTCTTCCAGCACTTTTAAAATGAACAGCTGCATACGTATAACACACAGTGCCTTAAAACTGCCTTAAAAAGAGATCACTGATAAAAAGCCACAACCTCAGGTTTATGTATCTCTCCTGCAAGATGAAGCTCTCACCTACTCATTGTCCCTGATTCCCAAAGACAGGGATCTAGAACTCACCCTGGCTTAATGTTCTGAAAGTTACACATCCAATGAACTATCACCCTCTTTTACTGTTACCCCTACAATTAATACCACAATGTTATTTAGTTGGGGAGAAAGGAGTGAAAGCTAAGAAAAGAGATTCTTAAAAAAAAAAATCCAAAAAAACACCACAACACAACAAAAAGACCTGAGGAACAAGGAACAAGCAAAAATCAGTTTAAACAGTTTGCTGCTGAAAATAAAACCTTATGTCAGTACATTAAACTGAGTTGTCTATAGTTAGGTAAGATCTCATCATCTTGTTACATAACTTTAAGAAATGTTCACATTTTCACTTTTTACACCTATAGATGTAACAAAAAATTCAAAGCCCCTGCCCTCCCTAAACTTGGAGTCCTGTCAGAGGCATAACTTTGACATGTTTAAGTTCAAGAGAACACAGTCTTCCTTAGCTGAGTAGCCCTTTAGGACATGAATGTTTCAAGGAGTCATTAATTTCCATCTCTCTCAAAATGCTATACACTGGGGTTTTTTATGTATTTTACTTGATAACAATATATGTTCATCTTAAAGAAATTTCAGCTCAGGCAGAATAGTTAGCTTTTCAAAAATCTCCTACTGTTAGGCTTGTCTTAAAATAAATTACCTTGTCTAATCCAGCTAATTCGTTTTTTAGTGCTCTCTTTTCTGCAGATAACTTTCTATTTTCTTTCTTCAGCTTTTTAATCTTCTTCAACAATAGCTCTATATTCAAATGAAAAAATGTAGAGTTCAACCATTACAGTCAACCTCCCCCTCATATGAATCATATTACAGCTAAAGAGCTGCCTACCTTTTGTGATACTAGAAAACTATAGTTCAGCTTCTTAAAGTACCTTTTTCATACAGTGATTTATTCTTAAAAACTGGTCCAGCATATTCCCAGGTAATATGAAAGATAGCAGGATCAGCCAGTTGGATAATCTGGATCTGCTGGATTCTTAGATGTGGGATTATTTTACAATCCACAAACACACATCATATGCCTTGATTACCTTTTCCTGGCTTATGAGAAGGTCACATCAGCCCTTACTGATAGCACATTTCCTGAAAATTATGCCTACATTATATGATCTCATCCATCTCTTTTCTATGCTTTGAAGTGGAAGAGGATCACGCCTTAAATTCTGGATTTATTTATGAAAGGAGGAACATACTGAAACCAGTTCTGTCCAGGCTTGCCCAACATTTTAAGCCTAAAACCAGGTTATTCTGTGTCTCAGTGTCTGAAAACCAAAGGCTGGTGCAGCAAACATTATTACTAAGAGATCTGCACAGATACATCTTGCTAGAATAAATACCAGCTCTAAATACAGCCACGCACCCCACCTCTGATTACAACAATGGATCAGTTTCAGAAAAAGAGAAAACAGCAAACATTTATCACAAACAAATGCAAGGAGGAATCCTAGATTACAAAATGCCATTTTTACATGACAGGTCTTCAAAAATGAAAAAAATATTTTAGGTAGTGCTGGTTGAAGGAGAAATAGCCTGGAAGGGCCTCTAGAGCAGAAATAAAATGCATTGTCTTTTGTGTATGGGAAGGAACATCATCAGAATAAACTGTACCATTACCTAAATATCTACTGCAACAGGCTTCCTTCTCTGCAGAAATGTCCCTGTGAGAAGTTATGCCTCCCTCTGGGGTTTGACTTCGTTTTCCAGAAGCAGCACTAGTTTTCCAAGAAACCTTTTTACATTCCAGTTGCTTAATTTTTTGCCTCTGTTCTTGAAGACTATGCTCTAGCTCATTAATTTTAATCTGTCAAGAAAATCTTTTTTAAGTGCATAGAAAAAATGCAGTTCAACTGAATACAACTGAAAACATAACCCAAAGGCAAACCTAGAGCTTTTTAAATTGCTGATTTTAAAACTACATTCACCCAAAAGGTCTGAAAGGAGAAAAAGCAAAGCACAGATGAGGAAATTAGACTGGTCAGCTTCAATGCTCATTCCATGCCTGAAGAGGCAATACCCTCTTGAAGCTTCTAGAACAGCTCCTGACCACACAACCCTACCTTGGCTCCAGTTATGATGCCAGACTCTTTGCAAAGCAGGGCCATAGACCTTGCTATCCAAAACAACACTCTTTGTCTTCATCTGGTTTGCCTTCTGCCGAATTTCTGAGAAAAATCAGCTCATGACACATGCATTAAAATACCAGAGCTGGTGAAAAAGAGATCAAAAGGTGCAAATACAATTGGAAGGAGGGGTAGGCGGATGAGTAAAGAGAAAAGCAAGGGAAGGGAAGACAGCTTTCTGCTACAGACACACCAGTGACGGAGTTCACTTTTAAAGGAAACTACAGGCTACCCTCCAGTATCCCTGTCATGAGAAACTAAGTATAAAAAGAAAAGCATGGTCTCCTTTCACAAATTTAAGAATTTCTTTTCAGTCTCCCTAAAAGCTTATGTTTGGCTGATTGATACCAGCTCCAACAAATTCTACTTACAGTGAGATTTTTAATTGCTTCGCTTTGCTCCTTGTTTGTTTTTGTTTCTTTCACATAACGTTTCTGTAGCTCATTATACATCTGAAGTAGTCTAAAAGAGAAATGCATAAATTGCTGTAAAACATGAAAGACAACAAAATGTGGCATCATTTATGGTAAAAGTATTAGAGATGCCCCACAGAGACCACTTGGCCTGTAGCTGTGCTGCAGAGACTCGTCACAGAAATATTTAAGATGGCAGTGAATGAAATGTGACTGTCAACACAGAAAGAGAAAGCACTAGAAAATAACAGCAAAGCAAGTTAAAAGAATGGTCTGTATGGATGGCAAAGAATCCTTTTTACTCAGCCAGACTGAGGACCCCGTTGTTTTTGTCCAGCATACATGGCCACACTCCAATGAAACCTCAGTGCAAATCACTCTTTGAGGGAAAGACAGCAGCAACAGGAGGCTGGCAGTGACCTTGCAGCATGTCAAATACAGCATTCCTCTCCCCATTAGCACAACAGGAATAGCAAAAGGACACTCCTAAAGGATTTTTAAAAGTTTGTCCAGCACCAATCAAGAACCCATGATTAGGATACATGAGGCAGTTCCCAGCTCTGTGTTGCACAAAACATCTCATTGCTTCCAAGTGTGTGGGTGTGAGGATATGAGTGAATGAATTCTATGTGAAAATGAGTGGGTAAAAGAAATGTCAAATAAACAGATTAGGGCTGTTACCTTTCCCTCAGATATTATTTTGCATAGAGTTCTGCTGTACTAATTTCTTACCACATTTCATAGCATTCAGCCAACATACACAAGGCCCACAATTTAGCCAATGGACATGAGCAGACATTTTTCCTATTTTTTCTAGGAATTACAGTAAGAGCTGCCATTGACAGTAAGTCATGACGGCACAGCACAAGCAGGATGAGCAATACTGTAGCACAGCACAGCTTTGTGAAAGAACACACAAACAGATGCTGGAAAAACAGCTAGGTCGAGTTATCTACATGCAAAATAACATAAGGCAGGTACAGCACTCAATTCACAGACTAACTTGGAATTCTTCTATATGAGCACCTAACTAGGAACTCAGTTTGAGCCCAGAGCCAGTCACCCAGCTACCCAGCTTGCAAAGAGAGTCCAGCACACTGTAAAGATATTAAAAAAA